CAGCCTCCCCTAAATAAGTCTGACAAACCTCTATTTGGTGAGCCTTCCATATGAGTTTTTATTCTGCCATATACATTTGGAACCTTAGTTGGAGGAGCGAGGCTTCTTGATGCAAAGATTTTCACTAGTGTTCACTCTAGCACAATAATGGGAAAGTAATTTACTATTTGACTTGAATATATTCATAATTTTTAAAGTCTTTTTCCTAAAAAGAAAAAGTTGAAACTATTGAGTATTGGCCTGGACCTGTGATTTCTTTGGTGAAGATATCTGCAACTCTCTATAACTACCATCTTGTAGAGTTTTCTAGGGGTACTGAGGAATTAAATGACTCAGTGGCCATGGTCACACAGCTATTAACTGTCCTAGGCAGGATTAGAAACTAGGACTTCCTGACTCAAAGGTCAACTCTCTGTGTGCTATGCCATGGTGCTTTTCACTGAAGTTATAGTTCAAATGACGCAGTGATGTGGTCATCTGATGACTCCTTTCATGAAGCCAGCTCTCAAATATAATCTTTTATTATACTGAGAAACACTGTATTTTTTTTTATCTTTGAAACTTATTTTTAAAAATCACATCTTATTTGTTCTGTAAATCGATGTCAATAAACTGCTGACAGCTATACCCTGTACAATGTTGCCCCAGCCATCCCTAGTTTCTAATGCTGTCCTTAGTTGGTGATAACCAAGTCAGCATGGTGTTTGAATAAAGAGTACATCAAGAGTCAGGAAAACCCAAATGCAAGTCCTGCCTCTCACCAGTATTGAGTGACCCTGGGTAAATTATTTAACTTCTCCAAGCCCTGGGCAGCCCTCAATGTCTATAAATTGCAGAACAGGGAGAGTAGGGAAGAGGGAGAGGAAATTTCTTTTTTTTTTCTTTTTTCTTTTTCTTTTTTAGGCAATTGGGGTTAAGTGGCTTGCCCAGGGTCACACAGCTAGTAAGTGTCAAGTGTTTGGTCTGAGGCCAGATTTAAACTCAGGTCCTCCTGACTTCAGAGCTCTATCCACTGCCCCCGAGGGAATTTCTTAATGGACAGTTCTCTATACTAATAAAATCACAAGCCCAATCTAAAAACAATCCCCAAACCACACACTCATTCCCATGATTTCTGACAGGTCATTTTAAATCTTTGGGCTGCAGTTTCCTCATCTGTAAAATTAAAGGGTTGGACTAATTGATTTACTTTGTTAAAAAAGATATTGTTAATATATTTTGTTTTCATATCACCTACATTTCCAACTATTTCCCTCCCAGAGGCTCATCTCTTATAATAAGGAATTCTTAAAAGAGGTTTTAAAAAGTTCAGCAGAACTAACCAGCGCAGGGCAGTTAGGTAGAGCAGTGAACAGAGCAATAGCCCTGGATTCATGACGACCTGAATTCAAATCCAGCCTCAGACACATAACACTTACTAGCTGTGTGACCCTGGGCAAGTCACTTAACCCCATTGCCTAGCCAAAAAAAAAAAGGAACCCAAAGACCAATAAGATGTGGTTCAAATCCTATCTCCAACCCTTACTAGCTGTGTGACCCTGGACACTTAACCCATACCCAAAAGAGAATATTCTCTATAACATACTGTACTTAACAAATGGTCATCTAGCCTTTGCTGGAAGAACTCCACTGAGAATCTGCTTCCTCACTATACCCAAAGGCTATAAAAATGTGCATACCTTTTGACCCAGCAATAGTACTTCTAGTGCTGTATCCCAAAGAGATCATAAAAATGGGAAAAGGACCCACATGTACAAAAATTTTTATAGCAGCTCTTTTTGTGGTGGCCAAGAATTGGAAATTGAGGGAATGCCCATCAATTCGGGAATGGCTTAACAAGTTGTGGTATGTGAATGAAATGGAATACTATTGTACTATAAGAAATGATGAGCATGCAGACTTCAGAAAAACCTGGAAAGACTTGTATGGACTGATGCTGAGTGAAATGAGCAGAACATAGTACACAGTAACAGCCACATTGTATGATGACTAATGTTGTTAGATTTAGCCCTTCTCAGGAATGCAAGGATCTAAGATGTCTCCAAAGATCTCATGATGGAAAATACTATCCACATCCAAAGAAAGAACTATGGAGGTTTAATGCAGATCGAAGCATACTATTTGCTATTTTTTTTTCTTCTGTCTTATTTTGTTTCTTTTTTCTGGTGATTCCTCCTATTGGTTCTAATTCTTCCTTACAACATGACTAATGTGAAAATATGTTTTAAAAAAAGAGATAATCTACTTCCTCCTGGGGGGTGGGCCCATTCCATTTTTGGATGGGTCTAATTGTTGGGAAATTTTTCAACTTTCTTAGTTGAACTTTCTTAGTTCTACCTTCTGAGGCCAAATAGAATCATTCTAATCCCTCTTCCATGTGCAAGCCCTTCATATGCTTGAAATCATCTGTGAAGTCCTCCCTGAGTAATCTCTTCTCCTCTCTGAAGATCTACAGTTCCTTCAAGTCTTCCTCATTTGGCATTATCATGAAACTCCCCACCATCTTAATCTTCTTCTTCTGGATATCCCCCAGGTTATTAATGTCCTTTATAAAACTGTCCTTTCTATGTAATCTTCAGTCTTTTTGGCTACCAGTCTGTATCATTGTTTCCTCAGTCATTCCAAAGCTCCCCTTCCCCACCCCTCTTCTCAGAAGAGAAGGACATTGATAAGCTGGAGGGCATCAAGCCCCTCATTTTATAGTAAGTCAATAAACATTTATTAAAAGCCTACTATGTGCCAAGCATTTTGTTAGGCACTGGGGATACAAAAAGAGGCAAAAGTTAATCCCTACCCACAAGGAACTCATATTCTAACAAGGAAGACACCAAGCAAACAAATATGTACAAACAAGCTATATACAGGACAAGTAGGAAATAACTAGGAGAGGGAAGGATCTAGAATTAAGAGAGGTTGGGAAGATGGGATTTTAATTGGGACTTGAAGGAAGCCAGAGGAGGCAGTAGACAGAGATGAGGAGGAAGTCCATTCCATCCATGAGAGACAGCCAGAGAAAATGCCCAGAGCCAAGAGACAGAATGTCATATTCTTGGAATGGTGAATGGGTCAATATCACAGGATCATGGGGAGAGTAAGGCATAAGAAGGCTGAAAAGGTAAGAGAAGGCTAGGTTATGAAGGGCTTTGAATGCTAAACAGAGGATTTTGCAGTAGGGAGCCACAGGAGTAGAGGCATGACATGATTGGACACAGGCTTTAGAAAAATAACTTTGGTGGCCAGATGGAGAATGAGCTGGAGTAGAGAGAGATTTGAGGCAAGTAGATCCACCAACAGGCCTTAGCAATAGCCCAGAGGTGATGAGAGTCTGGACCAGAGTGGCGACAATGTCAAAGGAGAGAAAGGGAATATATAAGAGATATTGTAAAGGCCAACTTGACAGACCTTGTCAACAGATTGGATGGGGAGTGGGAGGTGGAGGGAGGGAGAGTGAAAGATAGTGAGGGGTCAACTATAACACCTAAATTTGAAGCCTGAGGGACTGGAAGGATGTTATTGCCCTCTACAGGAATAGGGAAAGTGGTGGGGGTGGGAGGTGAGAGGAGAAAAGCAGAGATTTAGGGGGAAAGATAATGAATTCCATTTTGGACATATTGAATTTAATATGTCTACTGGACATCTACTTTGAGGTTTCTGAAAAGCGATGAGATTAGAGGTCAGCACATTGGAAGTTAGGCAAATTTGAGAATCATCAGCATAGAGATGGTAATTAAATCCATGGGAATTGATGAGATCACCAAGTCGTATAGAAGGAGAAGAGAAGCAGGCCCTGGACAGAACCCTGTGGGACACCTACCGTTAGAGGATGTGACCTGGATGAGGATCCAGCCAATGTGAGAAAGAAGGTGTGGTTAGGCAGTTGGGGAAAGAAACAGAACAAAGTAGTGTCATGAAAACCTAGAGAGAAGAGAATGTCAAGGAGGAGATCACCCGGTGTCAAAGGCTGCAGGGAGGTCAAGGGAGAATGCAGACAGAGAAAAAGCCATTGAATTTGGCAGTAAGAGATCACTGGTGACTTCAGAGAGAGCAGTCTTGGTGGAATGATGAGGTCAGAAGCTGTATTGTATGGGGTAAGAAAAGATTGAGAGGAAAGTGGGGGGCTTGTATTGTAGACAGCCTTTTTGAGGAGTTTACCTACAAAGGGCAGAAGATACATAAGATGATAGTTAGTGGGGTTGGAAGTATCAACTGAGGGTTTTTTCAGTATGGAAGAGACATGGGCATGTTTATAGGCAGTAGAGAATGAGGCAGTAGAGAGGGAGAGATTGAAAATAAGTGAAAGGGGGGGGATGACAGAAAGCCAATCTGTTGGAGGAGATGGGATGGAATGGGATTGCTTGATCAAGTAGAGGGGTTAACCTTGGTAGGCAATAAAGTTATCCCAACATGTGAGACAGAGATGATGGAGGAGATAATGGAAGGGGATATATGAGTGATAGGAGATGAGGAAGAGGGAGAAAGAGGGAACTCATAGCAAATGACCTCAATTTTTTTTCTGTAAAATATGAGGCAAAGGGTCTCAACCTACAGATGAAGAAAAGGAGGTTGAGAGAGGTCTAATGACCTTCCCAAAGTCATACAGGTAACAAGTAGCAGAGAAGAAATTTATGAGCTGCATTGATTAAGGGTACCCAAAACAGTGGGCTTTCCCAGGCCATCTGATTTCAGATCAGTTTGTCACTATTTCATGTGTAATACGCCCAGACTCTTTCAATAGATTGTAATCTCCTAAAGACAGGAGCCATGTTTTTTTTTATTCCCTTTGTATTCTTCTCAGCATCTCTGCACATACCTGGGATGCAATTAATGTTTAATTGAATGAATGAATGAAATAATAATGAGACATGGGAGAATAATTGGCAGAGAGTATTAGAATCTCATAGAAGAATTAGAAGAGATGAGCATTAAAGGAGATGACAGGAGAGGGAGACAATTTTATGCAGAATCACTGACCTTTTGACTTTCTTTGTTCTCTAATGCAGACACTAAAAACTTAAAAAATTTGACCAGACTGGCAGAACCGAAAATCAGGGAGGTCATAGACTGTATAGAGCATGCCCTCACCTCTCGAAGTCCTCGGATCCGCTACAATCCTGGCCTGGACGCCAAACTCCTCTACATCCCACTGGCCAGATTCCCCACACCATTGACAGACTTCATTCTGAGCCGATACCTCCCAAAGCCAGCAGATAGTGTCCTATGAGACACTGAGAAAGGGGTATTGGGGTCTGGTAAGGTGCATAGAAGTCCCAGTGGGGCTGAGTGTGAGGAGCCATTTTCTTCAGCTGAAACTTTCACCCCCAGGACTTTTTATGCCCCTCACAATGAGCTCTCACCAAGCCAATGCTTAATGCAAACCTAGTGTAGCATTCCCAGGTTCAGAAACCCCACCATGATGCTGGGAAGCCACAGGAGTATAATAATAATAATCCACATTTACGTAGTATTTTCTTGGTTTACAAAGCACTTTTTTCACAATAACTGTGTGAGGCGGGTGATAAAGTATTATTCTCTCAATTTTACAGATAAACTGAGACTCAGAAAATTGAAACGATTTGTCCAAGTTTGCACATCTAGTGATCAGCAGAGGTAGGAGCCAAACCTAGGTCTTCAGATTCCACAACTAGCGGTCTTTCCATTACACCCGGTTGCATTGCATCCTCAGGATGACCAGCAACTCAGGCTTATCAGATTTTTGCTGACATGCAATGCCACAGTCAAGAAGAGGACAAGGAGTTCCTTCTAAATATTTAACCAATAAATATAATCAGTTCCCAATTCTCCAAACTAAAAAATGGTGAGGAAGTTGTGGGGAGTCATTTGCAATAAGATATAATTTTTTAAATGTCTATTTTCTATTTTTGGTCTTTGAAAATAAGGAAAAGCTCATCATCTCACCCTCCAAATTGGAAGTTGTGAGACAACACCACAGTCATCATATCCAAGATTCTGATCCAAGTAAAAACCTTGAAATGCTTTCCCTAAAATTTCCCAGTGTTTTATTCAGTAGGTGGATGCTGTGCATATTAATAAACATTTACAATCTCTGCCTTTGAGGACCTTATTGTCTAGGGGAGTCGATGTTAAGACAGACCAAATTAATAAAAATAACGAATTAGAATGTTTCAGCAGGAAGGGACCTCTCATTGCTAGCATTTGTATAAAGGCTTCTCACATCTGTCTGTGAGGTAGATCCTGTTATCAATCCCATTTTATAGATGAGGAAACTGAAGTTGAGAGAGATTAAGTGATTTGCCTGGGTCACAGAGGTAGTAAGTGTCTGAGGCAGAATATGAACTCAGCACTTCTTACCTCCAGTCAGGCTCTCCATTTCATCACCTAGCTGCCTTATAAACACTTTAGGGACCAAATTTTGGCTAGGGAAAAGATCTCTGTGACCATCTAATCCAAATCCCTCTATAATATAATGAGAGTCAATTAGCTGACCCTACACAATAACAAGGGTCTTCTAGGCTTAACCTGAAAACCTTTAGTGAGGGGGATCCTATTACCTCCTGAAGGGGTCCACTGTATTTTCAGTTAGTTCTAATTAGGAGGTATTTTTCTTAATCAGAACTTATTCTACCTCTCTTCAATATCTATACATTGTTCCCAGATAGGCACACATCCATGTTGGGCTTGCCAGGTATGCCTGGGACGATAGCAGGGGGCACATCATTGTGTGCCAGCAGCCTGCTCCCTAGTGAGTTGCCCTATATCTAGAGCTAGTTTTCCCAGTCTCTGGAGCCCTGTGGGTTGCTGCATGTAGGAATGCAGCTATGCACATGTGTTTCCTGCCATGGCTTCACATTTATTTCCCCTCTACAACTTCTAGTTAGGGCTGGTATGAGAAAAATGAGGCTGCTCTAGTGACTAGATTCTCCCTGGAATCCCTGCCCCTCTACACCCCTTTTCCAGATTCATGGTGATTGTGATTGGTGGAGCCCAGTGGAGAGGGTAGGGATGCAGAGAACCCTCCTCTTTCCTGTCCCCAACTTCCTCTTCTCCAGCCAGGAAGCTCCCCTCTCTGCTACAGCCAAGTCAGGGAAAAATCAACTAAACTGTTTTCTCCCCTCTGATTCCTCTACTTGGTTTATTTTCTGTTGCATGTGGCCTGGGGCTCAGGCTGGTACAGGATAGGAAGGCCAAAAGGAAGTTAACCTCTACTACCAGCTTGGCATGGACCAATGCAGGACCAGGGAAGCAAGGTCTAGCTAAGGAGATGATTTTTTTTAATCCATGAAGATGAGACTGAAAATGTTGTTTTCTATTTTAGGGTAGGGGGAAAGAGTTGATTACATAACACAGAAGTTCTTACCATTTTGGGGGGTCATGGACCACTTGGGTCCATGTTTGGGGAAAACCTATAGACTCCTCAGAATAATATTTTTCAATAATTGAAAGAAATGATAAATTTCAGTTAGAAGTTAGTGAAAGTAACAATGCATTTTTTTCCCATTCAAGTCCATGGATACCCTGAAATCTATCCATAGACCCTTGGGGGGAGGGGGATCTCTGGATTAAAAGGAACTGTTTCCAAAGTCTGCATTTTTAAAAGTAAAGTTTAACTGTTAATTTTTTTAAAAAGTTAGCTGTTTGTTTGATGGATAAAAATGTCCTTTATGATTGAGTATTCAAAAGATGTTCACCTGAAAAAAAAATCCCCTTGGGGCACACACACATTAATGAAATGTGCTGAGCACGTTTATGCTCCTAGTTCTTCCTGGGATAAGCAGACCAGGGCAAATACTTAAAGGGAAATATCTTGTCAGCTCTTTCTCCTCCCCCACCACTCCCCACTCCCACCATGTTTATCTTTTCCTCAGGATAAACAACCCTAGTTCTTTTAACCAGTTCTCATATGGCATAGTCTCGTCAATCTGCTTGGTCTCCTAAGATTTTCTTACAAGCTGACCAAAGACCTTTTTCTAAAATGGAATTGAACACAGTACCCTAGGGAGTTGCATTAGAGGAAATCTGCCCAGAGCAGGTTACAATGGGACTACCATTACCTTCTATTTTTCTAACACTATATCTTATCTTAATGCAGAATGACACTCCTGGGCCCCACCACCACCATCACCACACCCACACACTTGTTATAACAGGTTGGAGGTTTAACTTTACTACGGTACTTGTCTTCAGTGTGGATTTGCCATACTAACTCTACTGTGGGAGTTTCCATGAAAATAAATTTGTATTCCTTGGGTACATGCTGAATGAGAGCAATAGGGAGATGGCCTAGAAGGCTCCTGGGTGGTTAAGGGAGTAAGAGGTTGCTGGGAGTAAATCTGCCCACAATCTGATGCAGAGAATCCACAAAAGAAATTTTTAAAAAATGATGACTGAATAGCATAAACTCCTTGAATCTGGTCATCTCTCTGGAGATCACTGCACTGCATTTGAAAAGAGAGACTTTTTAAGACAGAGATTCTTAACTTTCTGTGTTGTGGACCCCTTAGGCAGTCTGGTAAATATGGAAGTTTGGAGCCCTTCTCAGTAATTAAAGGAAATACTAAATTTCAGTTAAAGATGGTGAAAATAAAGATGTAACTTTTTTCCCCATCCAAGTTCAGGGATGCCTTTTAAATTTATCCTGTGAACCCAGGTTAAGAATCTCTGCTATAGAGAGGGAAGAGAGGAAAATCCCTGAGCCTGTCCTTCAGCCTGACGTGGAGGCCTCTGTATCCTCTACCACATGGGTGAGTTAGGGAATATCTACCCCAAGCATGTGAAGATTTCCCCCAGAGGAATGGGTGGATGAGAACAATTTGTTCCAATAGCCATGAAAGCAGCTGAAGCAGGTGATGTGGATCACTTAGAGCAAGGTTAGACATCGAAGGCACCACTGCATCCTTGGTCATAGCCAGTTGTCTTGACTTTTGTCTTGCCACTGGACTTTGATGATTCTGGAAGAGAGAGTGGGGCTGATGACTTTGTGCAACTCTGCCTCACTTAAATCCAATTCACACGCGAATCAAGACATCACACCATGATGTCACCCTCTTCGAAAATGAAGGATGAAAAACAGGATGAAGGACTCCTTTGGATGACTGTCTTCGATTTTAAAACTGGTGAGACTGGGCTGGTTGCTTTTTTTCTTTTCCAATTGTTTTTCAACCACACTTATCTGTTGCATCCAGAGGGTTAAGATTACAGTTCACCCACAGCATGGATGCCATGAACTGAATTGGTGAAAGGGGAAACACTTTTCTTTCCCTGTTTCCTCTCTTTTAACTCCAACTCTGAGAAATGGCCCCGGGAGTGTTGGGAGCTGGAGCTTTGCCAAGGGCAAAGCACTTAACCTTTAGACAGTGAGGGCACGGTAGCCCATGTTACCTGTGATGCATTGTCTGGGATAAAATTGACCCCTTTGCTTTGTGGGGAACCCCTAGAGATTTTTGGGGGTACCATGACTTTTTATTTTGAGATGCCCTATACTACAAAATCCTAGAGAAAGTGGGCAAAAAAAAATTTAGGCTAAAAATGTTCATTTGATTTTTTTTCTGGTGTTTCCTCACAAGTCAGTTACATTGATGTAATTTTGCAAACTTTTCACATGTTAATTGCTTGATTCCTTAAAAATTGATGCTTTGGTGCTATTGAATTCTGTGTAAGGTTTGATTTACTAAGAGGTCCTGTATTACCCTGGCCTATGTAAGTACTGATGTTAAGTTTAATGTGAGAAATCTGGAATCACCAGATTGCTACTGTCTAACAAAAATATTCACATTGTTTATTTTACATTTAAGCAGACCTAGACGGCTTGCTTTTTTGTGAAAGCACAATACCCTATAATTTCTTAGGGTGAGAACACCTGGGCCTAGAAACCACAAGGAGCTGATATTCTTCGCTATTCTTCTAACTGAACCTACTCATCTTTTTGTCTTGATAGCTGAGTTTGCAATTCTATTTGGCTTATCCTGGCAGGAGCAAGGATCCAAGGGGGAATCTCAGGTATAGAAAGGGACACTTTTTGTGAAGATCCCAGTTGGATGGCTTTATACACTGAGGGAATTATTGGAAGAATTTCTCCCTAAGTCAGTTTTCTCATTTGAGAAAAGAGCAATGCTAAATTGACCCCAGGTCCCAAATCCCTGCAAGGAAAGGTCCATATAGTTGGAAAAGCTTAGCGTGCAACAGGTTTCTGTTCAACACAGAAGCTAGTTTTCTTTGTTCTTTGTTTTGCTTGGGGGTTGAGAAAGACCCTATAAAGCTAAGGCTAAGCAGGCAGAGATAGTTGGTAAACTTTGTAAAATCCTTCTTGTTTTGTTGTCTTATTTGGGGAACTTTGTGAAATGTTCCTTCTGTGAATTTATAAAACTTAATATTTGGAGATAATTGTGATTTTCATCCGTACATATGGGATTGCATATGCTACAACATTGGCTGTTTTAAGACTTTTCTGTATGGCACTGGGGAAGAAAGGAAGTCGACATTGCTTATGCTTCCCCAGAGATCACGGAAAACTGAATTGAATTTGGAATGAAGGTTGTTTAAAAAAAGAAAACCGCACCTCTACGTATTTACCTGGGACAACAAATTTCAAACCAGAAAATGTGTAACCTAGGCTAGTCTGAACATAGCCAATTCTCCTAACATGAAGGTGCCCATGAGGGACATTTGTAGCACTTCCAAATTGCCTAACACAGAGGCCTCTGAATCCCCTACCATGTGGGTGGGTATAGCCTCCTTTGATTGACTGACTCCTTCTTTAAAACTGATGAGACTATAGGGACACTAATGTACTGTTGGTGGAGTTATGAACTGATCCAACCACTCTAGAGGGCAATTTGGAACAATGCCCAAAGGGCTATAAAACTATGTATATTTTTTGACCCAGCAATACAACTGCTACGTCTGTGTCCCAAATAAATTTTTAAAAAAAGAAAAGAAAAGAACCCATATGTACAAAACTGTTTATAGCAACTCTTTTTGTGTTGGCAAAGAATTGGAAACCAAAGGGATGCCCATCAATTGGGGAATGCTGAACAAGTTGTAGTGTATGACTGTGATGGAATAATATTGTGCTATGAGAAATGATGAG